CCCAAAAAAAAAATCTTTCAGTTTCTAGCAAAAAAGAGAAGGAAGAGGAATAACTTTAAATCATACTTATACCCAAGAGCTGTTGTGGACCGATCGATCAGCCATGAGTTTCCTTTCCGGCAAGAGAAAAACTCCCGCAGGTTCGTAGTTCTCTTAATTATTAATCAAATTTGATATCTTTTCGGTAATTTCAATTTATTTATCGCGTGAATTTTATTTGTTACTGTCTAACTTTGATGATGTACTGTGAATTGTGATTACCTGTGTTAACTAACTCGAGATCACCTCAAAATTTATAAATATGGTTAGGATTGATATATACACTTGTAATTGCACATTCTGTTTCTTTTGGCTTATTAGGTTTAGTTAAAAAGGAAATGAGGAACAATTACTGAATAAAACATTCAGCTAATGGTTCAGTATCAGGATAATGAAATAAGATACATTATTTGGCATTTGCTAATTGATGAGGTTGAAAAAATTAAGGCTCCTTTAATACAAGTATAGAATTATCCCACTAAATCATCTCTTTTTAGCATAAAGTTTGAATTTTTCACCAGTTTAAGACTGTAAGTACTGAATGACTCGTTACATGGACGTGTCGTTGGTGTTCCTGCTTGTATAATAGTGAAAGCTTCACACCTTCAACATGCCTAAATAGCAATTGTAATCCTACATTGTGTGTCAGGCATTTGCATATTGATAAATCATTATCTTGTTGTTTTTCTGGGTTGTGAACAAATCTTATTAGTTCAGTTAACTTGGAAAAGTTTTTAATAATTATTGTTGTTGTTGTTGTTGTTGTTGTAACTTGTTGTTCATGCTGCCTTTTTCTTCCAAGCATTAATTTTTGCTAAGATAACTTTGTCCCTCTAATACAACTTGGCTTTATAGTTCTATCGTTTACAGCATCTCTTTTGGATTTTACTTCCTAATGCTTCTAATTGTAGCTTTGCTACGTGGCACGATAGGTGATATTTTAACCCTCTCCTTCTGTAGATTTTCATGTTCTGTCTTTAATTCAGAGATCCTGCGTGAGAACAAGCGAATGCTTGATAAATCCATCAGAAACATAGAGAGGGAGAGACAGGGGTTACAGACACAAGAGAAGAAACTTATTGCAGAAATAAAGAAAAGTGCAAAGCAAGGGCAGATGGTAGGTCTTAATAGTAACATCCATTATCTATCTTTTCTCCTTTTTTATTTCAATAAATTGTATGCATGCAGATGCATCTATTTGTTGAAGATGCATATTATTCTATTGATGATTGATTCTAGCTCACAGCTTCATTTTTATTATTGTAGCTTCTTGAAGTAGCTGTAGTATGTTAACTGTTCATTTAATATTAAGAGATGCCACCAAGACATGGTTATTAGACAATACAAAGAAAATTACAAGAAATAGTGTGGTCTTTGGGGTTTGGTTCGAGCTTTGAGTCAAACTGTGGACAAAAGATCTAGAAAACATACTACTACTAGATTTTAAGTTTATAAACTCAAACAGATAAATGTATTAATACACAGTCACTGCATCTACTGTGAGCTGCTGAAAAAGTGGCAACTATTTTATCACTTCTGCTTCTTGAGATCAAGTAATGAATAATGCTGAAGATAGTACAAGTATGCAACAAGGAATAATTGGACTTAATCCTGTGTGATTTGAAGTTCTTTTAATGCTAGGGTGCTGTAAAAGTGATGGCGAAAGATCTTATAAGGAGAGGCATCAGATTGAAAAATTTTACAAGCTTAAATCCCAACTTCAAGGTGTCTCCCTCAGAATTCAGGTACTTATGAAATTTGTACTTCTTATTGGTTAGTTCTTCAAAAATTTTGCTGTTCATGAGAATAAGCACCTTGTTATATGTGGATTGTTTGTACCAAAAGCTTACTACTTTATAAAACAGTATTCCTTGATTTCATTCCTGAACAGTCCCTTCAGTAACTTCTGCAATTTTGACAACTAGTTTTTGACTCTACTTCAGGGAAATTGTGTAAAGTCTCCCCACCAGTTCAATTTTATGGAAATTCTGTTGAAGGAGTACTTAGTACTACTATTAAATATTTGGACATTTTAATGCTATTTTGCTGGAAGTTCATGAACTTGTCTGTTTGCATGCCCAAGTACCAAGTACTGGTTGCCGCTCTAAACTAAAATCATTTACACATTCTATAACAAAATTTCAACAAGATGGTTCTCCCCCCCCCC